TTTATATATATAACATATAATAAATATATAAAATTATATATTTCATGCGTGTCCTCATCGTGTCGTGTCCTGCATTTTTTGAAAATTAACGTGTCGGCGTGTCCGTGTCGTACTCGTGTCGTGTCACGTGTCCGTGTCCATGCTTCTTAGCCTACCGGAGACACTCCGATGATAAAGTTAGTCATTTGATTGAAAGAATGAATGTATAAAAATGAAGAGTATTTGTGTGCTGTGTGGAGCAGAGAGAGATGAGGCCTACCCCCTCTTCTGGGATGCCCCTTTTTATATAGATGGAGGGGTGTCATATTTGTTTGAGCTGGACCCATTGTAGGCCTTGTTTGAGTTAACCCCAATAAGCTGATATATATTTTTTTCTGGCTACCACAATTGCCCCAAAACTTTCATTGTCTGCGGTAGAAGAAATGAGAGTTTTTATCGCCGAGTTATGCTGTTCAAATAGATGTTAGGTCTCGTGACAAATGATATATTTGAAAATGAGTAACATGAATGAATGACTGGATGAATGCATGTATGTATGGATGAATGTACAAATATATGTATAACTATATGTATATAAGGGAGGGGTGAGTTCCAAACAAACTATATCATAAGTGAGTCTACATTAGATATCTCTGTAACGATGGCCACGGTATTATAACTCCCGGACGAGGGTGTGGGCCGCAGTATTATAACCCCCGGGCAAGGGTGTAGGCTGCAGTATTGTTGAAGCTTGGGTAACCAGCTTGGGGAATGATAGAATATCATCCCCTATTTATAAAAGAAGATTAGGGTTTACAAGAAATGCAATTTACAAGATGATCCCTGAGTGCTATCCCTGAGTGCATAAAATGATTACAGTGATTACAGACAGACCCTAGTGTGCCTTTCGGCTAATATAATATGCTAACACTTAATATAATATGCTAACATGTTACATTGGAGTGTTATGTTTCGGAAAAATTTGGAGTGTTAGCTTGTTACGTTTGGAAAAAGTACACTAACAAGTTTATTAATGTGTTCCATTGGAGTGTTACGTTCTTATTCGTAATGTGGGATTTGTTCTAGAAGAAGGGAAAACCCAAAACCTTTATAGTGTGCGGATTGCCCAAATGTGTAATTTCACATTTGGAGAAACCCACTTTTATCCCTAAAAAATCAAATCCAAATATGTAAGTGACTACTCTTTTGTGTAATTTCCACTTTAATAGAACCTTTGAGTTCATAAGAAAAAAAAGAGGACTAAACAGTTTACAAGATCACATTTTGAGATTTATTGTTACTTCACCCTTATATCTAAGCCTTTCAACAATATTAAGGGATGCTCTTTTAGCCTTTCTACTTTTGAGGAATTGATTGATGATTTGAATATTGGATTCAACAAGTTTGTATTTTTTTTAAAATCTGTATGTTAGTTGTCTTGACTCTTTGACTCGTGAAATGAGATGTGTAAACGAGCTCTGAGCTTGGTCAAAAACTCGCCAGTTGGGCTTGAACAAGATTAGCGAGCACTACTCGAGCTCGAGCACCCCAACACTTGGCTAACTCTGGCTCGACTTGGCTTGGCTCAACTCATTTCCAACGTGGTCTCATGTTAGACATTCTTGATGCATTTCTGAAATGCTGTAGTGATTTTAGCACTGTTGATATAGATCCGGTATATGAAATTGGTTAGCCAATGATTTTGTTATTTTATTATGTCCAAGGATACTCTCATGGGAGTTAATACAAAGCAATATCTTCTTGTGCTGGGTTGGAAGAGTTTCTCTAGGTTGTCATGATTGTGTGCACCTATAATAATTATGGTTTTGTGATTGTCATCCGTTATAGCTCCATGACGAATACCCATACACCTTGCTACATTTGTGGTATTAAGTAGCCTGCCTTGACTAGGTGGTCAGGGGTTTGACTCCCCTTCCTTCCTTGCCCTAACAAAGCAAATAATTGAATTTTTTAAAATAAAACAAAATAAAATTTAAAATAAAACTAGCTCCATTATCAATCTTCATCCCGTTAATACATCTAGTATCCATGCAGTTTGTAACTTGGTAGTTACTTCTTTTTTGTTTTTTTAATTGTTGAAAGTGTAGTTTCTATTGTTCAATTAGCTCCATGATCTATGTCATTCCCTTCGCCAATGTATCATTTCACTCTGTCATTTTGTTTAATGTTTCTCTAGTCTAGAGCATATGCTTATGGTTTTGAATGTTCAAATTAACATCCCATGCCAGTTTTAACTTGGAACTTTTAGTGCAGATGAGAACAGGATATGTAGCACTTGTTTTGTGTTTAAACATTGGTGTTGATCCACCAGATGTTAGGAAAATATCTCCTTGTGCAAGGACGGAGTGCTGGATAGGTATAATGTCAAGCATAACTCAATTCAACTCAAGTTCGCTCAACAACAATCGAGCATAAATGCCATGTTGTATTTCTTTACTCTTTTTTTTTTTTTTTTTTTTTTTTTTTTTTTTTTTTTTTTTTTTTAAATTTTTATGTATTAATTGAGTTCCAAAATATATTCAATTGTACTTGTTGGTAGCAATTTCTTATTTAATTCCACGGATGTGGTCTATATCCTTTCTGAAATATTTCCATGTGATTTGTACAAGTAAACTGGCATATATATGCTTTGTTGATTGTTATTTGATTCACTTGATCAAGAATTTGTAGTTTCCCTATGTTTTTATCACAAAGTTGATAAACACAATGTGCAATTTTTATTATTGTCACTGCTAAATGCAGAAAATGAATAGGGAAAAATTCTTTTTGTACAAGTGATGAAGATGCTGAGGTTGTGTTTTACTGGGGTGTGATTTCCCTACGGAAAATGGAAAGGAAGATGCATAATTATAAACTCCTCTCTCCAAGTGGGCTTTGTTTGCTTTAAAATCGATTAGGTTTTGGAAAGTTAACTAAAATGGCATAATTTGCTGCAATAAATTTCAAGTTGGAAATGGGCAAAAATAAGTATCAATATGATTGTATGACTTCTTGACTGGTTTGGATAGTGAGTGACCTGCTTACATTGTGCGTAATACTGAGAAATACAAACTGGTTGGATGAGATCCCTGGGGTGATCGAGATGGAGAACTGGGCAAATTGGAGATGGGCGGTCGCTAATAGGGTTCAGGTTCTTCACCTTAGTGAGGCCTTCTTTTCTTTTTGTTCCCCTTTGAAAGATGAGGCTAGGAGGGTGCTAAATCCAGAGGCGTGGGTGTTGGAAGGGAAGCCTCTGTTCTTGGATTGGTGGTCACAAATGGGATGTTGTTATAAGCCGGGAGTTGGCCCAAGAGGAATTTGGGTTAGGTTGTTGGGATTATGTTTTCATCTGTGGAATGAGATAGTATTCAGAGCTATTAGTAATGTCTGTGATGGTTTTGTCAGAGCAGATGAGGTGCTGACAAAGATGCAGCATCCTATGTAAAAACTTTCTAAATCTTTAATGAGTCATCACGTAATACTGAGTTGTGACCTGAGGTCACTACGTTTCTCTTTGCATGCAACCTTATAAAGTGGACTTATTATGTGTCTCCATCCATAGTAAGTTCACTGTGTGTCATTCTATGCCTACTTAACAGATTAGGGTTAGTTGCTAGATCACTATGTGTCTCATTCTATGCCTACTTAACAGATTGGGGTTTAGTTTCTTAGACATGCATTGGTTTTTTCCATTAAGCTCCATGTAAGCTAATGTTTGATGAAAAAAAAAAAAAAAAAATCATCCATTGATGTATCATTAATGAAGGTACGACGTCGCTTGCTTGAACAAAGAGAGAGCAAGGTGCATTCACTTGCAGCATGTCTACCCTAGTCCAGTGGAGGTTAGGTTCCCCAAAGTTTACGCCACCTACCATCACCCTTCGGGCCTATTATCCTATTTGGCATTTTTTATTTCTGGAGTTTTAGCCCCGATTAGCAAAGGACCAGAGAAACTTTCTAGTTATGAATTGGTTATAGAACCAATGGGCGACGCTTGGGCTTTTTTGTCCATTTAGAATGCTCAACTTGGATTAAATCACTTTCCATACTGGGGGCATTAGTTACATTATGTACGGCCAAACCTTCTCAAAGAACTGTCATTTCATCTTCAATTGCTTCCACTTTTAAGTTTTAATATCATAAAGTAATTTATTGTTAATGTTAAAGATACATTTATATTTCACTTTTAAGTTTTAATATCATAAAGTAATTTATTGTTAATGTTAAAGATACATTTATATTTCCAAAACATATTGTCTATCCATTGTTTTTGTAAGAAATAATGTATAGAGAAAGAGAGAGAATAAATTGTATGTATTATTATTGATTGATATATTGATATCAATTACAATGATTCATGATTCCTATATATAGAAGAGGGTGAGTGTGTAGTAGGTAAGGAGTAGGTGAAGTGGAGGTGGTAGTGGTGTAGTGGGTTAGGTTTAGTGGAGTAGGTGAGGTGGTAGTGGTGTAGTGGGTTAGGTTTAGTGGAGTAGGTGAGGTGGTAGTGGTGTAGTGGGTTAGGTTTAGTGGAGTAGGTTTAAGTGGGTGAAGTATGTGGAGAGTAGGTGGATTTTAACAGTTTTGAATTTTAAAATCAACCTAATTGGGTTTTTATATATTTTAAATGCATGCTTTAGATACTGGTGGTAACACAAAGAAACAATTGAGGTTTTGGTGAAGCCTTAGATCTTTTAGATCCATGTTTTCTTTTTCTTGGTCTACAAAACTAAAAAGTTCATTCCTTGTTTATATACATGTTTAGTGACACCACTCTAGGTGAGCATGTGGAAGTATAGCCTTGTTGTAACTTGGGTATCATCCTGCATAGCTAAACTACTGACTGTAGTTCCTTGGGAACTAAAGTTCACCGAGGGACATGTTAGAAATTCGATAGATCCCGTTAAGAAGATGCTTGGGGAGGTCCAGTTTTTGCATCCTGTCGTGTCCATAAAATTGTTCATGTTTTTCCTTTTTTTTTTCCTAATTTTTTCTCTATAGACCCCAAAAGTGTATTTCTTGTTTTCTTCCTTGTAGATGGATTGCACAAAAAGAGTGGTTCTCACTCAAATTCGTTGTTTATATCTTGAAAGTTACCTTGTACATTCTGTTCGAGTTGGCAATTGGAGAGGTGGACAGAGAGTTCTATTTGTAAGGGAAAAAAATGACATTTTTTTTTCACTGACTTGCTATATTATCTGATAAGGGCTTTTATGCTTTGACCTTTTGAATTTTTTGTGGACTGCAATTAACTGCATAACCTGTGGCTCCTTACAACGGACCCATATAAACCCATGTTTCTTTTGTTTATTCTCTGTTTAATTTGCTTTTGAAGTTGTGGCACCTGTTGTCAAATTGGTTGTGCATTTGATGATGGCTGTAGTCACTCAGATTTATTTCTTATGTATAGGTTTAATGTTATGAAAGTATTTATGCCATTTTACTTCTTCCTTTTGTTGGCAGATCCATTTTCTATCACAACTGCAACGGTAAATAAAACAATTGGGAACTCTTTGCTTGGCCAATATAAACGATGGCAACCCAAAGTGAGATTTTTATTATTATTTGTGTAGAAATTTAATATCAAATAATGTTTTGACTATTCTTCATGACATATAAGCAGGCACATTATGAGCTTCAAATTGATCCAACAGTGGGTGAAGTGAAGAGAAAATGTAATATGTGCCGCTTGAATGCCAATTCTGATAGAGTTCTCTTCCATTATAATGGACATGGTGTACCAAAACCAACTGCTAATGGTGAAATTTGGGTTTTCAATAAGGTTAGTATCTAATATGAAGTTATGATCATGTTTTGTTCTTTATCACTTCTAGAGTAGTGATGTTTCTCAACTGTGCTTCAATAAGTGCAGGGTTGCACACAGTACATTCCCTTGTCAGTTAGTGATTTAGATTCCTGGTTGAAGACACCATCTATCTATGTTTTTGATTGCTCTGCTGCGGGAATGATTGTCAATGCTCTTACAGAGGTGCGCAGCTGTCACTCAAGGTCATTCACTGAGAGTTTTGTTATAGATGGCATAATAGAGTGCATGGGCTGCCTTTTTTTCCCCCAAATATGATAAGTTAAGAATATGCTAAAGTTCAGAGCCCCTTTTTTTTCTTTTTGTTTTTTTGTGGGGGTTGTAGAATTTAAACAAAGTAGCAATAAGTTTGAGGGCTAAAGCTTCCTTAGAATGTAGACGAATCATTTTAGGAAAGGATGGATGACTAATCCGATGGTTGATTTGGATAAGTAAAACTGCTAAACTTTGGTTGGAAACAGAAACTTGCTTCCATAACAAACCATTCATGTCAGACTCCGTTGCATAATTTATATCCACATTCCTGTCCTTGTACTAGTACTACATTACACCAAATGACCAAATGGGTGTATCTCTCGTATTTTTCTTCTTCCTGTCTTTCTCTTGTTCTTAGGCAAGTGGGTTGGGTGAAAATGAAGTGGGTGTGTCTTCTCCCATGAATTTGTGCCTGTGATTCCAATCTTGATTCCCCATGAAAACATGAGTTCCAAAATTTTTATTACTTTATTGACCTTATTTTTTTGTTGTGTTTTTGGTTAGCTCCAAGAGTGTAATTTGAGTGGTCCATCTTCATCTTCCATGAAGGACTGCATTCTTCTTGCAGCCTGTGAAGCACATGAAAGTCTTCCTCAACATGCTGGTTTGCCTGCAGATGTGTTCACTTCCTGTCTCACGACGCCAATTAAGATGGCATTGAGTTGGTATGTTCCATTTCCTTGATGATGTTCTTAATTTGACCTGAAACGATATTTATTAGGTAGGTAGGTTTGTTTCCTTTTAAGAGATATATAACCAATTAGTGGTTATTTCCTGGATGAAGACCCTTTTATTTATTTTTGTTTGATGTGTGTTTCTTTTATTTATGTTTTTTGGGAGGGGGGAAGGGGTTTCAGTGGCATTTCTCAACTGCAAAATATCCTATGATTTTCTTTTTAATAATTTCAAAACTGGACACACACTGAGAAGGACAAACACTTCTAAGCAATTGGTGTGTTTATGTTGGACATCAATAGTCTTTAAACACACCCTGAGCATCCAAATTTGTCCTATGATTTTTCTAATATTTTTAGAACCAGACAGACATGCTTCGGATACTCGGGGGACACATGTCTATTGCTTAGATCACTTAGACACATAGAACACGAGATAATTTGAAGAAAATAACATGGAGTCCATGATTAAAATCAAAATAATATGGATTTATATCTATCAAACCTCCTTTTTTAGGCTTTTTAATTTCAAGAAATTTCCAATTTATTTGTGAATAATTTTTTTAAATAGATACTATGAGCTTTTGTTAACGCTTCTTTTCCAGTATATGGAATGGTCTATCAAAATAAACAAAATCTTATGATTTACAATGCAATTCACAATGGGTGAATCTATTTTGGGATAGAATCAATATTGAATCACATGATTAAAAATTTGACTTGTGTTTTATGATCTATGTAATTCGTGAAACTACCAAGTCCGACATATTTAGACTCTATGAAGCACGGATACTTCAAAAAGGGTGACGTATCCGTATCGGATACGTATCGGATACCGATACTCCTCGGATACTCGCGGATACGTATCAGATACTTCTTAAAAGTATCAGATACTTCTTATGAGAATACAACTTTTAAGAGTGTTTAGTACAAACATAACCAATATCTATGCATGTTTTGTAAAATTTTGGTGAGCAGAGGATTTAATATGATCCAATTACATCGGCCCCGTTTGGTGTAGCTATTAAAATAGATTATAGATTATAGATTATGACTTTAATCAGAAACTGTTAATCTGTTTGGTGTAGCTGTTAGATTATAGATTTAAGTTGCTGAATAGTGTTTATTAAGGGGTTGTTTGGGATATTCTAAATAAGTGCACTTTTTGAATTTTTATAAAAAGATATGTAGAAAAGTAGAGAGGAGATGTTGATTGATGTGACTCAAAAAAGATAAAAAGATAAAAAGTGTGGATTTATTTAGTCTTCCCAAACAAGACCTAAACAAGCTGTGAAGTGGCTTTTTGCTGTGTAAATGTCTTTTTTACCCTTGTCTTTTTCTTCTTATTTTCTTTCTCTATTTTTTTTTTCCTTCTTCTCTCTCTCTCTTCTTTCTTTGTTAATTTTGTTTAATTTCTTTTCATTAGTGGAAGTAAATTGTATTTTTTTTGTTAATTTTATTTTTGATTACACAATACCAATTAATAATATAAAAATTGTTAATGGAAGTTTGCCCTTATGTAAAAATTAAATAATTAAATAATTCATTATAAAAATTATTCATTAAATACCAATTATTCATTAAATACCAATTATTCATTAAATATCAATTATTCAGTAATTTTTTAATTTTTTAATTTACCAATTTTTTTTTTAATTTATTAATTCTTCTCTTCTTCTTTAATTTATTATTTTTTTTGGGATTAAAAACCCTAATCCCACCGCCAGCAGCTCTCTCCTCCTCCTCCTCCTCCTCCTCCTCCTCATACTCCCACTGCTGACAACCCCTTTTTCTCTTCCTCCTCATCTCACCACCGGCAGCCGTCAATCGTCACTTCCCCCTGCCGCAATTGCAATTACTGTGAGATTGCAGAAGAGAGAGAGAGAGAGAGAGAGAGAGAGAGAGAAAAGAGATCGCGAATAGAAAGATCAGCGGTGCTAGGGTTTCAGATCGATGGTTAGGGTTTAAGCTCTGGTTCAGATCGATCGTCACTTTGAGCGATCACGAAGAGAGAGATTGCGATGGTTAGGGTCTTTGGTTCAGATCGCTCACTGTGAGCGATCGGAGAACACTGGGGAGAGAGAGAGCTTTGGTCGTCGAAAATCGCCTCTCCCGTTCGTGCTAGAGAGAGAGAATGATTGTTCTTGGTTTATATAGACGGCACACTTGTAATAATTGGAAATTGTGAAGGGCATTTAAGTAATTTTACACCCCTCTGCATAATCTCAGTTGCGTAAGCTGCTTGGAGCAGTTTCTGATTTTCAGCTTATTTTCCTCTCAAAAAAACTCTTAGAAGTAGAAGCAGAAGCAGCAGCAGAAGCAAAAGCAATTTTTTCAAAGCTAGACCAAACAATCCAAAATTGCTTTTCAAAGCTAAAAGCTATAAGCTGGTCCAAAAAAGTTAGATCAAACACCCTCAATTTACATCCTGTCAAACTAAATGGGTTCTTAACAGTTTTTTCTCTTTTTTTTTCCCCTCATCATAATTAAAATAAAATACTCCCCACATCCCATTTTGTTGGTCCACTATTTCATTTTGGGATGTCCCAAAATGATAGTCCCATTTAAAAATTCAGTAAAAAACATTTGATTTTCCAAAACTACCCCTTTTGAGTAATTATAAATATATTAAAAATTTGAAAGATAGGGGCATTAGTGGAAAAATATTTTGAAATTTAAATTTAAGTGTAATGATTGCATGCCCCCTTAAAAAGTTGGAATCCCCAAAAGGGACCAATTAATTGGGATGGAGGAAGTATAATATCTTATAAGGATGTTTAAAGTTAAAGTAACTTGCACCCATGAATTTTCCATTGTTATTTTGGTGAAATAAACATGGTGTATTACAACGTGGGTTAGCTTAATCAGACCCCATGTTCCCACAGTTCTTTTTTTTTTTTTTCTTTTTTGGAACAATAAGAAACACCTGTTAAGGCATGTGAGGATGAAGGTTTCTAACTTGCTTTTTATTTGTATTCTACTCTATTTGAATGTTAAGAGAAAATATGTTATAATTTTAAATAATATTGTGATTGGTGGGATTTGGACCCACATCTCCTGCAATGAGGTGTAATCATGGCCTCATAAAAGAACTATTGACTAGCATGTGTCCATATCAATTATTATTTCTGCCATAAGTACAGTTGTTTATTTTTTATTTATTTTTAGTTTGTGCTGAATCTTTTAACTCTTGATGCAATTCAAAATTTGCAAAATTAGGATTTCGATTCACAATACGATTTTCAATTTGACAACTGTTAGAATGTGAAAAATGATTTCTTATTATTCGATACAATAACATATTAATATATTTTTAACATAAAAATGAAGAAATTTTTATTTTCATGTATATATAAATATATTTATTTAGTGACATGTCCCCGTTGCACGTGTCCTTTCAAAAAAAATCATGTTGTTGTGTCCATATCTTGTCATATTTGTTTTTTTGCTTGAATAGCCCATAAAATACACAAATCTTGCAAATAAAGGGAGCTTTGTGAGGGTACCATGAATTCGAGGTTTAGCCAACTCATCAACCTGTTTATAAATGAAATTGGATCTTCATGATCAAGATTTATGGTAGATTGCACACAATAATCTACAGTGATTTTCTGCTTAATTGCTTAGATTAGACATGTAAAGGACCATTCAAACATTTCTTCAGAAAAACTTTAGGTGATTGGGCTTTGTTCTTTGTATTCAAAGAATTACTGTTCTGATTGTTCTGGTAGAGTATCAATCAAATGAGAAAAAATATGAAACCTGTATTTTACAAGACAACACCCAGAATACTGCCTAGTCTGTGACAAGTACTTGCAGTCATTTTAATGTGTTGAATGCTACTCTATGATTCTGTGCACTCCTTTTCAGTTTCAGTTGGGCTATAATGTTATTGAAGCTTAAAACCAGATAGTTTTGAGCTTTAGGATGTGCATTTTATCTACATTCAATTCCTTGTCTGTGTGTCTTTATGTCTTGGGAATATTTTTTTAGTAGTCACATCAGACATCCTTACCTTCCCTAGCTGGTCAGCTAAGTTGGCAGAAGTGGCACCTTGTCAGCCCTTACTCATAACCAGTATAGGTTTTCTTGCATTGTTGGGGATTGGTAATACCATGGAATTAAAGTTGGGATTAGTAATACATAGGATAAGGGATGTGAATATATATACTATGGGAGTACTTGTACCATGTTTAATTAAGGTAGGATATAGCATAGGGCAAGATGGGTGAATTACTTTTTACCATTCAATGTAGTGCTGTGGCTAATCCCATGGCCATTGGATTAGCAATACAGTGGGGAGGGTGGTATAGCTAATTCCACCATTTTGGGTGATTAGCAATATCATGGTATTAGCAATCGCACCCTTTTTGCATTTTGCAGGACCCATGTGGACTGGGACGGAGCCACCCCTAAAGTTTTGATAAATATAAGACTGCCCCTATACATAAAGATTATGTATTATTTATCCCTAATAAAATTGTAATTGTGCCCCTCCTTAAATCATGTAAATTTCCTTATATTTTTAAAAATTTTAAAATTTTCTATTCTATTCTTTTGGGCATTCTTGTACACGCTTAACTGATAGGTCAAGGAAAAATTAAATCAATTGATAATTTATTTCTTATTATGGAATTTGTTTAGTTGGTTATTTCTTTCCTAAGTTGATAGTGTTAGACTTACTGATTATAAATTCAGTTGTTTGTTTGTCCCTATTATTGGGTTAATAGAATTTAGTTGTTGATTGTGGATTTATAAGTCACGTTGATGTAAATCTCAGGATAATTGTAATATTATATCTCACCGATTGACAAAAAAATAGAATTACAAAAATTTATAAGTTTATTAATATCTTGTTATGGTTAAAAATAATTCAATGTCGTGATTAACGTGTACCCCTCTCTACGTTGAAATTCAATGAAGTGGGACCCATGGTATTAGTAATCCCCCTCCCCTTCAATCTCCTCTATAATGGGTATCAAACATGACCTTATATCTAACTGATTTAAGTTTGATAATATTTTAATTATTGCATCTTATATGCCAGGTTCTGCCCACGTTCATTACTTAGAGATGCTTTTGACCCAACAATCATTGATAAAATTCCAGGCCACCCAAATGATCGAAAATCTCTTTTGGGGGAGTTGAATTGGATATTTACAGCAGTGACGGACACTATTGCTTGGAATGTTCTCCCTCATGGTAATATTCTGGTATCCTAATTGTGTGCTGATGAGTAGATTTTCATGTATCTCTCTCCATTTCTATCAGAATATTTTTTGGCATCTTTCTGACTTCAGTTCTGGCAGATACTTTCCAGAGATTATTTAGGCAAGACCTTTTAGTTGCGAGTCTTTTCCGAAACTTTCTGCTTGCTGAAAGAATTATGCGATCGACAAATTGTTCACCAATTTCTTACCCCTTGTTGCCTCAAACACATTGGCATCACATGTGGTAATTTAGAGATGATTCACTGGAAATTTGTTTTTAAACTTGTTTTCGATTTCGTCTTTTCTTGTACCAATATTATGCATTACAGGGACGCATGGGATATGGCAGTTGAAACTTGCCTTAAGTTATTTGTCAAAGAGCCTGAAGCTGAATTTCAGGTATCTGTTTTGCTTAGTTAATATTTTGTCCAGTGCTGTTATGGGTGGTCACTTTGGCAGTTTGCCTCTCTAGGGGGCCCATTAGATATCCAAGTGGGCTTTGGTGGTTACCTGGGTGAATTTACGACATCTAATGCAAGTCTCTCTTTCTCTCTCTCTCTTAAATTATTATAACTTTTGGAAAAAAAAAATTGGATTGGATTTTTAATGGGTTAATTACTATCAGAATATCCTGTAAAAAATTGATTTTCTTTAGCATTTGAGCTGAAAAGAGAGGACTACATGCAATGTGCTATTAACTAATACCAGTGTTTTGTTTTTTGTTTTTTTTTTCACTTTTACAAGATTGTTTCTCAAAATTTTTTCATGATATATGTGTTGTTACCTAATTACCTCTCCAAAATATCTAATTTTAACTGCGGTGTGTTGTGGCCATTGATTCAGTGTTTAAAGCTTGGCCTATCAACCTTGAGGTTGTGGGTTCGGACCTGGTACCACAGTATTAAATCATCCAATCACCCTAATTAAACATGGTTCAAACCTGGCACCCTGTTTAGTTAGGGTAAGATATAGGCTATAGCATAGTGTCTTTCCCTCCTAGACCCTCATCTAATGGGGACAAACCATGGTTATAAAAATTGTGACTTGGATTGTATGAACCTGCAAAACGTAAATTTCCAATATGATCCAGATCGTTGTAAAATTAGCAGGATCACAAGTAGGATCGTGTAGGATTGTAGGTAGGATCACATCGCAGCTAGGATCTTTTGGGCCGGTGATTTTTCTCTTTATTTTTAATATGCACCATCGTTATTGGTATTTTTACCTTAAATTGAATAGAAAGTAGAACTTTACGATCCTCAATCCGATCCACGAGACCCGCTCACAGATCCAATGTAGGATCCCAATTTTGACGACCATGACTAAAACTGGTTTTACTTTTAACTGTGGTGTGTTGTGATTTAAATTAAACATGCATGGATTTGAGAAATTGAAAGAAATAACTGAAGGGTGGTTTAAATAAATGTCACCAAGGGTGATTGGATGACTTAAAATCAAGAGAAATGCTACAATTGCACATTGCAAGAAATTACGATCTTTTGTGATGAAAGTTATGATTTTTGTGATGAAAGTTATAAATGGTGATGTTATGGTGTGCACCCCTAAAGTTATGTATAACCAAAGTCATGCTTTTTGTGGTAAAAGTTACACTTTTTGTGAGAAGCAAAAACTTATAATTTTTGTGAAGTACATTTTGTGATAAAAGCTATACTTTTTGTATAAGGTGCATACCATATGCACACTCTTTTTTTTTTGGGGAGCACATGAGAGCCTTTCCCTAAAATCAATTGCCTTAGCTATGTGCAGGCATTTTGAATTTTAATGGCATAGTAGACTTAACACACAGATAGAAACTGCCATCTTTGTGTAGCGATTATTGAGTGACCATATGATCTGGAAATTTTTTATCAGACTGGATATTTTAGTTGCTGTCCTTATAAATTAGCAATTATCACGAAAGTATAATGTGTTTTCCTATTGATTGCAGCCAAGCTCATTTTTTGATGAACAACTAACAGCTTTTGAGGTATGGCTCGACTTTGGGTCCCAACATAAGAAGCCACCAGAGCAATTGCCAATTGTTCTTTGGGTGAGACTTTCGATGCCCTTATCAGGATTGCAAACTTGTAGCTTCTATATTCTTAGTGACTGATGAATAATTTATTTGAGTACACCAACAGTACTTAAAAATATATCCGTACACTATCCAATTCTGTAATAATCTTTCTATTTTTTGAATCCTCTTCATTTATCATCTAAAGGTTATTGTAGATGCAAATTTTAACACATTTCAAAATTCATGTCATCCACTGTTTAGTCTCATTTAGGCTAAACAGTGTTAATTGTTTATTGTGGATTCCTATTTCCGATTTGAATTCCAGATTGTTAATTACACACTTCAAACAATTGAAACCTCCAATCAATGAAGAACAGAAAAATTGAAGAAAAAAAAAAAGGAGAGAAGAGAATTTAAGCAAAAGAATTATTTCATTAAAGTTTTGGGGATTTAAACCCTCTAAATACACCAAGTACAGTCAATGGGTTTGTATGCAATTCTTCAGGTTCTAACTTTCTTAGAACGAGTTCAAAAAAAAAAACTTTCTTAGAACTCTCAGCTTTGGAATTCTCTTGATTCTTGTCTTTCTAATCGTCTTTTTGTCGTCACCTCTTGTATGTGATGGTCCTCATATTTATAAAGGGCCATCTACATGATAAGAGACTCTTATCCTCAGTTTGAATTTTGAATTGAGGAATTTGGTCAAAACCCCCTCATAATAAAATTTTAATGCATTAAGGACAAGCACAAAAAGTTTTTCTTGAAATGTCCAACAAATATCACTATTATCAAAATATTAAACTTTAAAATAATATAACTTTTGATGTAGATGTCGGTTTTTAATAAAAATAATATTTTTAGAATTCTCTCATCAAGATCTATCAAATAAGATCCAGGTTGACTATGAAATTCTTTAAAAAAAAAATTATTACCGTTGAAATTGATGTAATCAGTAACAGTAATATATTACTTTGTTTGATAATTACTCTATTTGACAGTAACATGGTACTCTCTTAATATTGTCTAAGAAAGAAAAAAAAAGAAGATATTTTACTTTTTCTTTACTCAATTATGTGTTTTCTCCTTAGGGGGTTTATGAAGAAAAATAAATTGGGCTGTCATTTTTACCAAACAAGGGTCCAATGGACAGGTTTTGACTAAATTTCCCTTTTGAATTTTTATGATTACTCTGTTCAAATTTGAACATAATGTTATCATATCAAACATGATTAACTATATTGATCTTTTGGATTTTATCCTCTGTAACTTCCTTCTTGTAGGCTCTGTACGTGTCATCCTCTGATTGAATGCATTGTCCTTTGAATTTTGTAGGCTCCATGTGTCACTCTACTTGTATAGACTTGAAGATCTTGAGTAACATCGTTTAAATGCGATGTTATTGTATCTTATCAGGTATCTCAACTGATCGTATTGATCCTTTTAGAGTTGTTTTCCTGTAGTCTTTCCACCGTAGGCTCTACATGTGCCACCACTTGGTTGAGCAAGTTGTCTTTTGGACTTTGTAGACACCACATGTCAGTTGTATAGGTTCAAAGGATTTGAATTTTAGAGTCCTATCACCCCATTGAACTTGGAATCTAATCCTAAATTTGGTTAAAATTTATGTGCCAGTAGTTATGATTTTAGTACAATAGTTTTTTCCACAAGATTGTTTTAAGTGTAGTCAGTTTCATAACTCATGCATTGTGCAGCCATTCTTGTTGCCCATTGGTTGATTTGTGTTTTAGTCTGCTTAACTGCATTCTTGTTGCCCATTGGTTGATTTGTGTTTTAGTCTGCTTAACTGCACGGGTTTTTGAATTAGTTCATAAGACTATGTTTTGAGTGAGTTTGGTTGATTATTAGGATGACTTGTCCAACTTGTGAGTCACAATGCTGGGTGCTTTACAAAATCTTTCTATCTTGTCCTCTTCCAAACGAAAATTGATTTTACTATGCTATTTTGAAGATATCTATGTGTTAACAACTAAACAAAAGTTTATTAAATAGGGTAAGCAACTATAATATCACTGTGCACCGGTACAATTCAGTTATTTGGGCTGTAGCAACACATGCATTTTGTATTATTTTTGAATAAAGATGAGTGACTAATAAATACCCATCTGTCATGTGGGACAATGGATTGGAGCCATATGCATATGGTTCAAGTTGTGGCTATGAGGGAAGGCATGATGGTCTTCAATTTACAGTAGATATTGGCTTTAATAGGGCAGTGAGTTAATGCTTTGTCATGTTTATTTTTACTTTTGTTCTCTTTCTTTTTTTTTTAAAATTAATTGCCAAATTATTTTAGGTTTTGCTCAGTCAAAGTCATCGATTCCGAGCACTGTTCCTTCTTGGAAGATTCCTTGATATGGGTCCCTGGGCTGTGAATCTGGTAACTTTTCTAATGCTCGTCTTCTTTTTTATCTTTTTCTTCTTCATTTCATCCCTTGTCCAGTTTGCTGTCATTTTGTACTTAACTTATGCAAGCAGTTTGCTGTTCATCTAGATCTTGTCAGTTGGAATTTTTCCATATGTGCTCAAGTTGCTTAAAACACCAGCAGCAGACCTGAGACAAAGTCTTGTATTCATATGGACAAAGATCCTTGCATTTGATAAGGTAATTTGTTAGTCGTTATATATATATATATATGTATGTATATGTCTTTGGCAAGTCATAAACAAAACAAGTGAGGAGTCATCCACATGTTTCCGGTGTGAGCAATGTATTCATCCTTTCTATCTGATGCTGTTGATTCAACTTCTGGTCAATAAGATAGCCTCTCTTACACTAAATGTTCCTCTGTATTGAAGAATACAAAAACTTCTAGCATCCGAAGATGTGTTTCCAGTCTGTAATATGACAAGACAGCACACACACACAGAGACATGGATGTCTTTTAATGTATTTTTCTTTATTTTTTTTTCTTGACATTCTTCATTTTTGTCCCATGGTATAATAGTCATGTCAGGTTGATTTGGTAAAGGATGGAGGGCACTTTTATTTCATCAAATTTCTTGATAGCATTGATGCAAATCCTGAACAGCGAGCAATGGCTGCATTTGTTTTGACTGTCATTGTGGATGGGCATAGACAGGGACAGGAAGCTTGTGTTAATTCTGATCTTATACACCTGTGTTTGAGGTATCTTCAACCAAATGATATCCAAACTGAGCCTCTTCTTCTTCAGTGGCTTTGCCTCTGTCTAGGAAAGCTCTGTGAGGATTGTCCTGAGGCGCGAGTTATAGCTTTGCGAGCAGATGCACTGAAGTTACATGAGCTATTGTCAGATCCCCAACCTGAGGTCCTCTTTCATTCTTTTTGGCTCAATGTTTAGGTTTGACAATGAGTAATTATTTAGAACTCCATCTGTCTGTTTGCATTGTTTCAGGTTAGGGCTTCTGCTACTTTTGCATTAAGTAACTTACTTGAAAGTGGATCTGACTCATGTGAAGATTGGAGTGAAATTAGTGAAGAAATTCAGGACAACAAGAAGGTGAAGGATGAAGTTAGTATAGTTCAGAGCCTTCTGGCTGTTGTTTCAGATGGGAATCCACTGGTTAGATTGGAGGTTGCTATAGGTTTGTACTCACTGTCAAGTTTTCTAATCAGATGATTTCTTACTATGCCTTTTAAAAAGAAGATGACTACATAATCAGCAGCTGATTGAATATGGCTTTAAAGTCTCAATTTTATTATTATTTATAACTTGAAGAAATGCCTTGAGGCATGACCTGACATGTAACCTTGAGGAGTTTTCCTTGTGAGGTACACAAGTGCATGCCTCACTCTTGTAAATTGTAGCTTTCTAAAACATGTGATCATGAAATATGCATTACCAACTAATATATTAAAAATTTATGACTTAGTAATGTGTTGGATTTTAGTGTAATTGTATTTCAGTAGTCTTAAAATATTCAATAGCACCCTTAATAGCCAATTAAGGAATACCTAAATTATTCAAAGTGATTTCAACAATAGGCTTCTTGGATGGAATATTATTCAGCAACTCAGATATACCAGTTTTTTTTTAAGAGGATCACTACCTTTACTGATCTTATCTGCTTAACTGTTGACTTTCATTCTTTAGTAATTCAGAAAACCCGTAAGTTACTTCTAGTCGTTTACTTTTCTGGTCTATCATTGTTATATCTGGACCTGTTCTCAGTTTTTCTCTCCTGTGAAATATCTACTGATGCACACCTCAACTAGTCTGGGCATGACTCTCTCTCTCTCTCTCTCTCTCATGTGTGTGTGTGTTTTAGGCAGAAGGGTTGTGTGGAACTTGTGTAACTGTACTACATTGCAAATTACTACTTAGTTGGTTACTTCCTTGACATTTCTTGCATTGTTTACTTGACAGCTCTTGCCCGTTTTTCTTTTGGCCACAAGCAGTACTTGAAGTTGGCTGCTGTTACATTGGGAAAGCACTCTAATACCATTCTGGGTTTACCACCGTTGTTAGCAAACCTTGAGAGTTCATCTAGTGGCTCTACTGGCGGAAGCTGCTGCAAGCCGCATGGGCTTATCATTCCTACCCAAATTGGTTCCTTGTTGATTGGTGGTCGCTATAACACTGCCATGAGTCATTATGACAGGGTCTCTTCCAGTGATCCTGCCACAACAGGAGTAATGTCTGGTTCTCCAGAGTCAGAATATTCATCTCATAACTCTGATTTGGAAATATTTAATGACCGTTTTAGTAATATGGCCCTTGGCTATTTGAGGCCAAAACCACTTGATGAAAGAATATACTGTCAATGTGTTTTAGCATTGTGTTCTTTAGCCAGGGACCCATCACCACATATTGCTGGTATTGGTAAACAGATACTAACGCAAGTTGGTATTGATCAAGTTGCATTTAAGGCAATATGGTATGGTGGAGGCAACAATCGTTTGAGTGATATTGGTGCATCTTTACCGGCATCAAGCAGCCATGCCAGACTAGCAAGGTCTTCTTTGGGGTTGGACCTGTCAGCAGGTAATTTTGGCTAATACTACTTAACTAGAAGGGGAAAGAGCTTGGGGGGGGGAACAGAGAGGGGGGGAGAGAGAGAAAGAGGGAGAGATTAGGGGTATTACCTCAAACTTTTCCATAGTCTGCAATTTCAGTGATTCAGGTATATTAAGTTGTGGGTATTCTTGTGTCTCTTTAAATACCTTGCTTGTGCGTGGGTTCTTGTAACTGAAATCAATAATGTTAGAATGACTATCTCTTCCTACCACGTTTTGTGTACCACCTTATGTGGCACACCTATTATATTCAACAAATGTGAGTATGACACATAATGTGGTAAGCTCAATATGGTAAAGAAGAGATGGTCGTCGTAGCATTGTTGAACTGAAATACCATTGCATCTGAAAAATGTCAAATATGGATAACTTATGATTAAGTAACGTAGTCACACCTTTATTAACGTATCCATTCCTTCACTATTGTTGAATTTCATTTGTCAGGTCAATTACCTCGGAGGTTGGGAAGTACTTCTGCTATTCCCCCTCAGCAACGTCATTTCACAGGGATGCGAAGAGTTCTTTCTGGGCCTCACCTGGCAAATTCACAGAACTTGGGATTGGCTGATCCATTGTTGGTTTCTGGTGAATTGAGCAGCATTTTAGAGCGCAATTTACTTTCGCATTCAGCTATTTACAAATGGAGTTGCAACCATTTTTCAAGGCCAATTCGTAATACAATAGATGATGATGAAGAAATTTTGAGTAGAAGAGAAGAGAGAGAGAAAGTAGCACTAGATTGCATGATGAAATGGCAGCGTTTCTGTGAGTATCCTATGTGTTTTCTACATAGAGCTTCTCTTCATGTGTAATCTGTCATAATTTATCATCCTATTTTTATGTCAGCTGTTGGCAAGCTCAATAAACAAATTGCATGTTGGGATACAAATTTTAAGTTGGGCACAAAAGCAGCTTTGTTGGACCCATTTTCTCCTGTTGTAATTGTTTCAGATGAAACCGAGCAGATCAGGTGCAGTTGTTTTGTTTGGTTTGTTTTATTTTCTATTTTTTGACCTTTCTTTTTGTTTTGGAATCAACTCTGCAGAAATTTTGAGATATATTTGAAACATATATAGGTCTCACTGGTCCAACTTGAAAGTGTAGAATTTTGATATAAACAAATACTACAGCATAACAAGAACATATTCAGGTAGAAGGTTTAATTAACAAAAACATGGTTTGGATTAGAATCCCCTTAAAACGTCCTATTCCCTGTATGCCCCAAATTGGTTTTAGTCTTTAGAGAGACGAACCAAGTTGGGTTGTTTAGATGTTGGAAATATTTTAAGCATCAAGTCAAATAAATTTTCACTTGAATGTGTCCTTTGAAATTTAAGTTTATTCACTTTCAATATTTTGTGTTTGGATGATCATTTCCCAAGTTTTTGTTGTCTCAGGGTGTGGAATTATAAAGAAGATATAGTGCTTAATAGTTTTGACAACCACAATTTCTCCAATAAAGGCGTGTCAAAGCTTTGCCCTATGAATGAATTTGATGACAGCTTGCTTCTTGTTGCCTCACGTAAGATTTGTTGCTGGTATGTTTGGTAGAAGTGGTGGTTACACCCCATCAACTCTACATTGACACATCAAACCTAAGTTAACAAAGCTCATTTAATTAGGTGATGGAAATGTTCGTATATGGAAGGATTATACGTCAATGGGTGATCAGAAGCTTGTCACTGCATTCTCTTCGATTCAAAGCATTGGACCTGCATTCCAAAATGTTGGCACTGTAGTGGATTGGCAACAGCAGTCTGGATATCTAGTATGTTCTTCAGATTTTGAGTGTCCTCATGTTTCTTGCTTCACTTGGTTTATATATTTGAGAAAGTTTTTTATTTATCAAATATATATATATATATATATATTTGGGACTGTTTTTCCAAGATATTAAAATATTGATGGACAACTTTTTCTCTGAGCATTAATACTGGAGAGAAATGACAAATTGTGTACAAGCTTTATGATTATAAATTTCTTTCAACAAAAATGATGCCTTAAAAGAATATTTTATTAATGCTCTGTTTGTTTCAGCAGAAAATATTTTCCAATAGAAAACATAATCTATGGAAAACGTTTTCCAGAAAATATTTTTTGGAGAACGATTTTCCTTTGTTTGGTTGCATCCTTGAAACTAATGTACTAATGTTTGTGTTAGTAGTGGTAGGATGGTGGCAGCGGTGGGGTGGTGGTGGCAGTGGGGTGATGGTGGCTGTGGCTGTGGCGGTGGCGGTATGTTGGTGGAGGTGATGGTGGCATTGGTAAAACCTTAGTCAGAAAAATGTTTTCCACCTTTTAAAAGTGAAAACTATTTTCCGCCTATATAGGCTTGTTTTCCGTTGTATCAAATGCCAGAAAATGCGAAAAACATTTTTTTCAGCTCAAACAAACAGATCATAATTAAGTGAACAAATTCTTTTAGTTTAAACAATACTTCTATGTTAACTTTATATTTTGTATGGTATGCTATGAATAGTATGCATCTGGGGAGATATCTTCCATCATGCTCTGGGACATGGACAGGGAGCAGTGTATAAAGTCTATTCCTTCATTGTCAGAAGTTGGCATCTCAGCATTGGTATGTTTACGTCTTTGTTTTCTCTATTCCAAGTTCTATTTTAAGCTTTGGTTTGAAAATGTAGGGACTCCTCTTGACTTGCCGCTTAGGCTACATTATTGAGTCATTTACGTTGGATTTTATCACTTTAATCAATTCAACTCAATATTAAGTAATGCTTAAAATTGCAACTACTTTGCCTCTGTTACATGATCTAGGATTATGTACTCCATTAAATAAAAGGCCCTCAGTTTTGGTCGTCTTCTTGTTGTAGAACCTTATTAAGTAAGTCACTGCTCATGTCTTTGTTTGTTGATTTTAGCTGCAGTCAACTGAACAGTCTTAAGGCTACTATTTTGTCATCTATTGATGCCACCTGAATGCAGATAGTGAGTGGCCAAAGAAAGACCAAAATTAAAGGAGATTATATTCTTTAAGAATGGATAATGTTGACTTAAGGTTAAAACTATTGTACCCAAATTTAAGAAAGTAAAATAGGAAAATAGAATGATATACTAAAATTGGTAAAATTGGATTTCAACAATTAAACAATGTACCACACATTAAAGTACATCAATTCAATAAATTTTGGAAAGTAGGTTGCTAGTTTGATCTCACTATGTTATTCTTTTCTTAGAAGCAAGGTATTGAAAAACTACTCTTTTATTTATCCTACCAACTATACTCTAATGCTATCCAAGAATTATTCTAATCTTTATTGCATAAGAGATTGGAGCTTCAGATTGTGACCTAGAGTATCCAATAAGTATCTCATACTTCTCAAAATAAAAATAAATAAAATAAATTTCAAGTATAGGATACATATAGGAAGTATCACATACGTATCTGAGAGAATCCGTGGGGTATGAGTATTTGATACAGATACGACATGGATACATCTAAGTTCTAGAAGTATCCATGCTTTGTAGGTTCAGATGAGCTTGGATATGCTTGGCTTAGTTCAAAGTCTTCCTGGACCATTTTTTTTGTGAAAGTTCATAAAATTATTGCATGCTAGAGGTCAAATGCATGAATAAGGAGAATGGGTTTAAGTTAGGATTTTAGAATGGGTTCTAGAAGTATCCATGCTTTGTAGGTTCAGATGAGCTTGGATATGCTTGGCTTAGTTCAAAGTCTTCCTGGACCATTTTTTTTGTGAAAGTTCATAAAATTATTGCATGCTAGAGGTCAAATGCATGAATAAGGAGAATGGGTTTAAGTTAGGATTTTAGAGAGTGAAATAACACTTTCAAGTTTTTTGTAATGAGCGCAATTGTCTTCGGGTCAAATGAACTAAGCAAGAAGTTTGTTTCGTAGGACATGCTTTTCTTTAAGTGGTTAATTTGTGTTGAGATTTGGCCAAGTTCAACTTGGGAACTGTCCCTTATTCCGGGTTGCCTCTGATCAGCATGGTACTATTGTTGAAGTAGAACGCAAATTCCAGTGATACTTCTGGAGCTCTCCGTTGAGATCATTTTTCTCTTACTCGTCACTAAAAAAATAGAGAAGAATAGAAAGAAGAAAGAAATATGCTTCTCCACATTAGGATATAGACTAGAAATGAAGAAAAGATAAATTAGTAGAATCATTTGCAGGGGGAAAAAAAAAAAGCAAGATAGTGCGTGCCTTTATCTGGTTTGAGGTATTGCAATTAAAGAAAACCACTGATATTGCATTTTATTGTGAATATTTTTTTGTTTCATTTTTCATTTACGTGAAGAAGTTACCTAGAGCATGCCTACCTTTATTGTCTTGATAAATTTTTCTTCATAGAAATGTGTGAGTTTGGGGATTGATGACTAAGGCCTCGTTTGGAAAGCGACCCATTTAGTCAAAAAGTCACTAAAAAAATCAAAAAGCCAACAACCCATACCAAAAAGTCAAAGATTCTATTTTCTCTCTATTTTTTGCACATCTTTTCGTAAAAAGCCAAAAAGTCATCCCAAACATACTAGTTTTTTTTAGCTCATATTTTAACCAAATAGCCAAAAAGTTACTAAATTAGCCTGTTCCCAAACGAGGCCTAAGTATGCTTTATCATTTTCGCTGAAGGGAATTTTCTATCCTTTTTGGATATGTATTTTGTTTTGAGATGATTTACCTTATTTTGTTTTATTTTGAGATGTGGCCGGGAGATGATGTTTAAATTCAGGAGGGTTTTTAACTTCTTTGCACTAGGTGTGGTTTTGTGTGTGTGTGTGTGTGTGTGTGTGTTACTTCCACTTCCACAAAGATCAAAAGCTTCTATGGAACTCAATATGGTCTAGCAACACATATGCTTTGCCAAGTAAGCTAAATGTTATTATTTGTCAGAACATGAAAAGGACTTGATGATTGGAATCAAAACATGAATTAAGACGACTAACCTATAAATTCAGAAGCATATGAAGAGTACAATAGCAGTTGCTATTATATGTAACAATTTATGTATTATTGATTGATGTATTACAAGATTGATGTTTTTAGTACAAATGTGAGAGGCTCCTTATATAGGAGATATAGGTGTAGTAGGTGAAGTGGAGGTGGTAGTGGTGTAGGTGAAGTGGAGGTGGTAGTGGTGTAATATGAAGAGTACAATAGCAGTTGCTATTATAGTTTGTAATCATATTCTAATGACAAAAATAATATCCATGTTATGTCAATTAAAATAAATAAATAAAGAATATTCACGTTATAAACACCAAGTAATGGAGTGAGGATTTGTCAAGTTAATGACAATATCAATAGATGGATATAATATGTAGTAAGAATGGTTGCATGTTTTCTGATCCTTTTTCCATTTCTCAAGATGTATCTTATTTATTTATTTCTGATTTGTAGTCTGCCTCTCAAGTTCACAAGGGTCAGCTTGCGGCTGGTTTTAAGGATGGTTCTGTTAGACTATATGACATCCGTACCCCTGACATGTAAGTTTCCCTTATATTGGCTAGAGGATTGCACATGTTTTAAGGTCATATTCCAATTACCAAATAAAACTCCAACCTCACAAGCATGGATATTTCTATGAAGGTAATGTGTGATGTCTCTCACCATGTTTGATACCGACGCGCTTGACATTCATCGGACACTTCCCAATAAAACACACATGAAACCCATTACAAATTTGAATAAAATAACTTGAAATCTAATGATAAAGCAAAAATAATGTAACTTCATATTTATTTTTCTCCTTCAGACCTTAAAAATAGTATATTTGACTTAATATCTATGTATTTAACATATAATAAATATATAAAATTATATATTTTTTACATGTCTTCCACGTGTTGTATCTTATATTTTTTTAAAAATTTCATGTTGGCATGTCAGTGTTGTGTCGTGTCGTGTCCGTGCTTCTTAGGCTCCAACATAAATCCGTAACATCCCAGTCTCTCTCCCTCTCCATCCCAACTAGAAATTGAATGTGTTTATGTTGGTTGTCTGCAATACTTATAGGATGGTTGGTACAGCACAGCTGCATATTCAAGGAACGGGTAGAGTTGTTGGACTAGGGTTTCAACCTGGTTTAGATCCATTAAAGGTATGCAAGGCTTCTTATAGAGTACATTATTTTCAATACCTAGTCTATTTTGTGGTTTTGGGAAATGAAAATTTGCATATTCTGATAATCTGTTTTTGCATGTGTAGATTGTAAGTGCATCTGATGCTGGAGACATTCAGTTTCTCGATTTAAGAAACAGAAACAATCCGTACCTATCTATTCACCCTTACACGAGTTCACTCACAGCATTTGTCATTCATCGCCATGCCCCTATTATTGCTAGTGGCTCTGCGAATCAGCATATTGATGTTTTTGACCTCGACGGTGATCAACTTAGCTCAATCAGATATCACCAGACCGTGGCTGAGAGGACCAGACATGTAAGCTGCCTCGCCTTCCATCCTTATGAAGCCCTTCTTGTTGCCGGTGCAACCAATGCTTTTCTCTCCATATATGATGACGGCTAAACCACCTGCAACATGAACCTTGTAAACACAGCGTCCTTCAAATTTGCATGAGGCTCACTAGTGCAGGCTGGAAAATTTTCATATGGGATGGGCTTGTAAAAATCTTGTGTATATATATATTAGCTCCACACTAGTGGTTGTATATATCATATACATAGAGATACGTAGGTCCAACTTGTAAATACATTCTCCCCTCTGTGGTTGTGCGGTTGCCAAAGTTGTACATAATATAAATTTATATTGTCAGGTTAGAAAATGGCATGATTATATCACATGATCTCTTATGTATAACTTAAAGATGTGAACAGTTTGCAATTGCTTTAACTATATGTTGGATATTCATTCAGGATTTGGTTTTTAGATATGTTTGAACCATCTGTTTCATATATATTATTTAGGATGTTTATTTTATTTACTTCCATTCCATCCTTTAGTTCATGCAAATCCTTCATATTTTCTTGTCAGACTGGAAGAATATTCTCTCCCTTTGAGAGTCCATGGTGCTGTTTGGTTTGGTTTAGTTTAGTTTTTAAATGAATATTTGGATTAAAAAAATCAAAAAAATATGTTTGATTAACAAATTTTTAAAACTCTTTTCAAAATTATTTTTCTCTCTCCTCTCACTTCTTTTTTTATTAATAAATAAATCAATTTTTTTTTCCCTCTCATCTCTCCTCTCTTACATTTTATACATTAATCAATCAAATTTTTTCATACTCATCTATTTAACTCTAAAAAAATATATAAATCATCTCAAAATTAATTTTAAAACTCATAATTAAAGAAATTTTTTATTTTCAAAATTCTTTTCAACAACTTGTCTTTTAAAATACAATTTAGAACTTTTTTAAAAAATTAAACCAAACTGTTTGAATTCTTGACCTATGAAAATTGAGGTCCCCCAAACTGGTTTGTTTAATTTAATAGATAATTGGAAGAAAAAAAGTAATTGATTGATGTATATGATGTGATATTTTATTATAATTTACTGATTAATAAAATTTGTCAGAGTTAGTGGCTTCTCTCAAATTGGTCAAGTAGAATATTGGAGAAATTACAAGCAGGTGTATCTTTATAAAAAAAAGAAAAAAAATTTCAAATCAGTGATAAATTTCATAATTTAATTTAATTTTGTTTTCATTAACATGTAAATATTTTATAAATGTTTTATTGGTGTGTAATTTTCTCCAAAATATTTATATAAAAAATCAAAATGATTGAATAGTTATATGTTTAAATAAAAGTTATTTTACAAAAAATTGATAATTATTTTTAAAATGCAAACTTCACTTTACCTCTTGTGATTTGGGTTAGGAGCGGTTTATTCTCTTGACATTTAAAAATCACTACATAACTCCCACGTGATTTGTGGATCAAAACGTACAATAAATTTTTCCATCCAAGTTAACTAGGGCCATTTCCCTAAATAAGCCAAAATAATAAAAGAATTCCCAAACTAAGCCTAGTTTTGAAAGATTTTCCAAACTAAGCTAACTCGCGGTTCACAATCGCGAGTTCAAGACTTTTTCACCCCCGTCGTCTGAAACCTGTAAAGGTTGAAACTCGCTGTTAGGAAAAGCGAGTTTGATTAAGAACTCGCTATTAGAAAACGCGAGTTTGATTAAACTTCTTTTGAAATCGCTCTTTACAAGCACGATTTCATGCTGAAATCGCCTTTTCAAAACATGAAATCGCTCTTTACAAGCACGATTTCATGCTGAAATCGCCTTTTCAAAACACGAGTTCATCAAAAAATAAAATTCTTCTGAACTCGCTATTCATAACCACGAGTTTAGAGCAAAAATTTTTTCTTTAAGTGAAATTGTGGTTCACAACCACGATTTTAGAACTTCTATTTAAACCTCCCCAGCCCCGTGTTTTCCATTCACGATTTCATTTCTCCTCTCCGCTGCTGTCTCTCTCTCGCTCTGTACTCTCTGTTCTCTCTCGCTCTTCACTCTCTGTTCTCTCTCTCTCTGGAGCTCGCTGCTCTCTCTCTCTCTCTGGAGCTCCCTCTGATTGATTCAGTACTGTCTCTCTCTCGTTGGTATGGCTTCTATCATCTACTTTACTGTGAATAAATTAGGATTAGAGTTTAAATTTGTGAATATATTTATGTTTGTGAAAATGTGAATAAATTAGGGTTAGGGTTCATGAATGTGGGGTTAGGGTTAGGGTTTATATTTGTGAATAAATTAGGGTTAGGGTTCATGAATGTGGGGTTAGGGTTAGGGGTTAGGGTTAGGGTTTATATTTGTGAATAAAATGTTGTGAAATCAGAAATAATAAATTAGGGTTACGGTTTATATTTGTGAAATTTTTGTTCAATGTGTGAAATAATAAATTTCTTAAATTTGTTTACGGTTTATAATAAATTAGGGTTACGGTTTATAATAAATCAGAAATAATGAATTTATTACGGTTTATAATAAATTAGAGTTACGGTTTATATTTGTGAAATAATAAATTGGGGTTAGGGTTAGATAATTTGTTGAATGTGTTGAATTTTAATTTTAGATAATTTGTTGAATTTGTTTAATTATAGATAATTTGTTGAAAGGTGTGTGGAGAGGAATAAGGCTAGAATTAGAATTCATTTGTGGTGGGTTTTGGCTATGAAAGGTTTGTTAGGTTTTAGGGTTCTAAGATGAAGAAAGAATCCAATTTTTTGAGAGGAATAAGGCTAGAATTAGAATTCATTTCTAGACAGCTGCTGTTTTGGGATGTTTTATGTGTTAGTAATTAAAAGGGCCAAAAGTATGGGAATAGATTAAGGTTGATTGTTAATCAAGACATAATGTTTTGGAGTCTGAAAAATGGGACTTTTTACGGCTCTGACAGTACCCCAACAACAGTAATTTTAACTAAGAGAAAACAAAAATTTACAAATTCTACCTAAACTTCCATAAGAATAACCCCTAAGGTAGGTCTTTTTTTTAAAAAAGATTTGACCCCTAAGGTAAGTCTAAACAAAGCATTACATAAAGTTTCAAAAGCTTCACACAAATTCTCAAACTCTCAATTCTAATGAATAACAAGATTATACAAGTATATATAGGTTGGTGGACTCTCCTAACTCTATTAGTACTTTTTTTATAGTAAAATTTTTCCAGTAAGTGACCTAACCGATTTTCATTTGATTCGGCCCTTATACCCAGGCGTGAGCCATGATTTGAACCAACCTGTTTAGCCCGAAACCCAAATCATGTTTTAATCCACTGAATAACACCTTCTAACGCAAAACAAAGAAATAATAATTAAAAAAAATTGACATCAAAACGGCTTTACTAAAGCTCAAAAAATTTATCAATTACATTATTACCTTCTAACCCAAAACAAACCCAAGGAAAAACAAAAGAAATTTACTTTAGTGAAACAAAATAAAAAAATGCTGAATTACACATTCTAACCCAAAATAAAGACAAAAGGAAAGAAAAAAAAAATTAATATGAGAACGGTTTTAGTAAAAGAATTTTAACTAAAAAAATTATTCTGAAATATATTATCACTAAAACAATGACAACATAAACAAAAGAACGAAAATTTTTTCTTTAAAGTTCAGTAAAATTGAAATTAAAAAAAAATTACGCTAAAAGCACGGTTCATAAAAAAATTTGGCAAAAAACCGTAGTTCTAAAGAGTGAGATGAAATTTTTTTTTTTATAAAACGTGAGTTTTGATGAACTCGTGGTTAAACACAAAAGGAAAGAAAAAAAAATTAATATGAGGATGGTTTTAGTAAAAGAATTTTAACCAAAAAAATTATTCTAAAATATATTATCACCAAAACAATGACAACATAAACAAAAGAACGAAAATTTTTTCTTTAAAGTTCAGTAAAATTGAAATTAAAAAAAAAATTACGCTAAAAGCACGGTTCATAAAAAAATTTGGCAAAAAACCGTGGTTCTAAAGAGTGAGATGAAATTTTTTTTTCATAAAACGTGGGTTTTGATGAACTCGTGATTAAAGACAAAAGGAAAGAAAAAAAAAATTAATATGAGGACGGTTTTAGTAAAAGAATTTTAACCAAAAAAATTATTCTGAAATATATTATCACCAAAACAATGACAACTTAAACAAAAGAACGAAAATTTTTTCTTTAAAGTTCAATAAAATTGAAATTAAAAAAAAAATTACGCTAAAAGCATGGTTCATAAAAAATTTTGGCAAAAAATCGTGGTTCTAAAGAGTGAGATGAATTTTTTTTTTCATAAAACGTGCGTTGATGAACTAGTGGTTACAAAGAGCGAGTTCATTAGAAATTTTTTTTGGCTAAACTCGTGCTTACAAACAGCGAGTTGTGATAAAATCGTGTTTCCAAAGAGCGATTTTAGCAAAAAATTTTTGTGCTAAACTCGTGCTTACGAACAGCGATTTCAAATAAACTCGTGCTTGTGAATAGCGAGTTCAAAGGAAAGAAATTTGATCAAACTCGCGTTTTCTAACAGCGAGTTCTTAATTAAACTCGCTTTTCCTAACAGCGAGTTTAAACTTTTACTGATTTCAAGCGACGGGGTGGCAAAAGTCTTGAACTCGCGATTGTGAACCACGAGTTAGCTCATTTTGGGAATTCTTTCAAAACTAGGTTTACTTTGGGAATTCCCTTCTTATTTTGGCTTATTTAGGGAAATGCCCCAGTTAACTAGCAATGACATTGACGCTCTAATTTAGTGTGTAAGCCATTGTTTAAGGCATAAATACCATTTTCATATATTCAAATTTACAAAAGAATGCCATCTTTCTCTCAATTTTTTTTTTTTTTTTTTGGAATTTGGCTGTTGCAGAATCATTTTTGTTTCGATTCCTTTAGTGTATTTTTTTTTATACTTCCGGTGGTCAGTGTAGTTTACCAATTTTTAGCCTTCTAGTATCCCTTCAACATATCCACACCCACATTTTATCTTGTGAATGAAGAGAAGATCAGTTTGTATCTTGAAACTCATTGTATATACAAGTGTATGTATATGCATGTGTATATATATACATATATATATGTACATAAATTTATGGATGGAGATGAAGGGAGAAGAAGAGAAGAGAGAGAGAGTTCACTGTGTATATACATTCATACATACACATACACACACACACATATATCCTTGATTGAATTGTATATGATTAGGAAAAATGATCTGAACTGTGTTTGGATTGTCTACAACAAAATGATCTGAAAATCAATATAAGAGATGCCGAGTAAACCAGCCAAGTGATAACAAGCGTGGTGCACTTGTTTGCGGCCGCAAACAAATATGCTAGCTCAACTGCTATTTTTGCGCATGAAAGACTCCATTTTTCTTCCACGGTCTGCTCCATGGTTTAGCACACAAACATCCACTCTATTTGGCTATAAAACACATTAGCTTGTCTTCCAAAGTATGGATTTGTATATGTGAAGTGGGTTTGCATATGATCAGAAAAATGGGTTTGGATTTGTATATGTGAATTGCATCAAGATCTTCTAGAGTGTTTTTTTTTTAAAATTTCTTAGTGTATTGTGTGGTTGAGATTTAATGCTGAAAAATTGATGTGATTTATCATTAAATCTCAACCACACAATGCACCACTCTAAAAAATTTTAGGCAAAAAAAAATTCTACAGGATCCTTGCTCTGTGAATTGGGTTTGTATATGATGAAGAAAAAGTTTAGGCAGTAAACTGTGAACTGGGTTTGATATGTATATATGTATATGTATGTATAAAATGTGGGCATGGAGGAAGAAGAAGGAAGAGAGAGAAGAATAATGGTATAACTGTCAATTTACAATTGTTAATAGAAGTTGGTTGCATTTCAATTCACAAATTACGGGAGGGTTACGTGACAATTTATGAATGTCAGGGTAAACCGCCGCGCCCGGCCAAAACTAGAATAGGTAAAGTGAAGCTTTTCCTTTCTAAAATTATTTATTTTTTTATGATTAAAATATATAACTATTGATATCTAATCATTTAAATTTTTACATAAATATTTTACTCAATAAATTTTAATAAATTAACAGTTTGTATCTAAAATAAACTTATCAATCCTAAGATTTTAGTCTAAGTAGGCCACCATATTCTGTTAAGGATTAGTGTTTTGCAATGAGAAATTGAGAAATGTTTTGAGAAAATTGTTAAAAGTTGATTTTTTAATTTATTATTATTATTATTATTATTATTTTATGTGAGAAATGATATAATTTAAAATTAATAAAAAATTAATTTTTAATTTTTTTGATGAGTTGCCCAAACACCCCTAAATTACCTTCGAAAAGTGAAAAATCTAATAAACTTTAATTTATAATTAATAATTTGCTTTTGCTGATAAAAAAAAATCTATTCGTTTCAAATTTGATGTGATGTTTGGTTTCAAAAAAAAAAAAAAGGCAGGCATCTGGTTCTAATGCCGAATGTCACTCTTTTTTGAATTTTATGATATTCCACACACAAAGAATTTACTCTCTCTCTCTCTCTCTCAACCCACAGTCCATATCCATGGTTTTGTTCCCCCGAAATCCCTATCAAATTGTGTAACTTGAGAGTTCTCTCTCTCCTCCTCCTCCTCCTCCTCATGGATATTTCAGCACCTGAATTTCAAGCGAATTCTCATATCCCGATCGATTTGTTAGTCTCCAAGGCACATTGCGGCCTCACATGCGGCGGCGGCGGCGATGGTCTCCGGTTCACCGACTCCTCCGGCAATCTCGTATTTAAAGTGGAACTTCTTCAATCGGACAAATCAACTCACAAACGAGTCCTACTCGATGCCTCTGCAAATCCCCTCATTTTCATCTACCGTAACAACGTAAATTATTAACTCTCTCTCTCTGTCTCTTCTCTCTCTCTTTCTCTCTCTCTCTCTCAATACATTATTACATAGCTTCTTTGACCTCTCTCTGATTACAATTTTTTTCTTTTAATCTAAAATTAAATAATTAGTATAGGAACAATTTTATTTTATTATATATTAAAATATAGTTAGAAATCACGTTTTTATCAAATATATATATAAATCACAAATATTTATTTAAAATATGAATTTCTTGCTGTTATTTTGAAAGAAATTTCTATTTTCATAACATTCATTTTATTAATAAATTATTACGTTAATTAATTAATAATTTTAATGATATCATAAATATATTTTAATTAATAATTTAAATAATTTTATTACAATATAAGAGCGTAGTTAAAAATTTTATTTTTTCAAATTTATTAAATAAAAAATTTTGACAAAAAAATATTTGTAATTTTTCAAACTATAAGAACAATTTATATTTTTTAAAAATCTCAAGGAGTATTTGTAATTTATCCCAAAAAAAAAATTATAAATCACGTTTTTTATTTGAATGTAAATACTTTAAAATAAATAAATAAATAAATTGTACCTCATTTGAATATGTTTTATCCAATAAATTGCCAACAGGACTAACACTATTAAGGGTTAATTATACTTTTCGTCTTGTAATTTGATTTAAATTTTACTTTTTAGCTCTTATAATTTTAGATTGAGCAATTCCGTCACCTTCCGTCTAAGTTTTAATTAATTTTTTTGAAGTGTTCCAAAACTCGTAATTTTAACCTTAAATTTGGACAAAAGAACTAAATTAAAAAAATTAGGGCAAATTACATATATCCCCTCGAGATTTGGCTAAATTATAGATATCCCTGAAGTTTGAGAAATTACAAATTCTCCGTAAATGCTATATTTGCATAACAAATTATAAGGTAATTCGTTATGAAATATAAACCTCAAGGGGTAAATTATTATGAAAATACAAATCTCAGGGAGCGAGATGTAATTTCTAAAACTTTAGGGGTATTTGTAATTTAGCTAAACCTCAAGGGAGGTATTTGTAATTTGCCCTTAAAATTATTCAAATTGATGCATATAGAATTATTCAAATTAAAATTAGATTTAAAGTCCAGGAATTAAATTGTTCAATATGAAATTACATGTACTAAAACATGGATGAAAAGTGTAATTAGCCCCACTATTAATTATGAAAAGCTGGAAAAGTAAGAACTGAAGCAACGGGACTAGCCCAAGAGATATATCATTGCAATTGTAGGCCTTCAACTAGAAATTCTGTGATGAGAAAATAAATAAATAAATTAGTGAAATTGACTATAAAAATTAGAAAATGAGCCACTAATAAATATTGGAATAAATTGAGCTCAGAGAGAAGGAAAGAACAATATTCAAACTCATTTTCAATCGATAAGTATGTAAAAATGTCTGAAATTGAATTGTATTTATCTAAGTGACTCTCTTATGTGATTTATGTCATTGTTGGGTTTGTTAAGTATGGATCACACGATAATTGTTGTTGGACATTCTTAAATAATTAAATGTCTGAATTAATGCAAGTCTTGTAATATTTATAAATTATTTGACAAATTTTTTTTTTAACAGTTAATCATATAAAATATTTTATTGGTTTTTGGAGAATAAGTGTGGATTTAATATAGGAACAGAGACTTTGTTCGTGAAGCATTTGATTCAATGGAACTTGAAATTTCTTTCTAGTGGAACTTTTGTGAGGCTTATGTGTACAGTCATGGTATTTTAATGTATTTTAACTCAATATCTGTAGTTTGTTATCCTCATAGTCAATTGAGGCCGACGCCTGATTGCCCTTTGCTAACTTACACATAGAAGAATATTAACAGTGTGGGTCTCTGTTAATAGAGAATGATGGGATGGGAGGGATAAAATTGGATAGTGATTGAACCTTTGCAATTTTGTGTGATTTATTTTAACAGTGCTTGAAAGGAATGATTTTTTTTTTTTCTTTTTTTTTTTTTTAAAAAAAAGGAAGGAGAAGAAGAAGAGATAATTCACCATAAATTTATTGACTTCAACTCTTTTTTTTTCTTTCTTATTATTATTCTTTTTTTTTCGTTTTGTGATTTGCTTATCATCATGAAAGGCTTTCAAAATACTTATATAAACCTATCAACGCTAGAATGAATTTAAAATCAATCGGAGGTAACACTCACAATTTTTTGTAAGAATGCACAAATTGCGGGCTCCCATCTATCATGAGCATTGTTTTAACTTTTGTGATATGGAAAATTGATATCACGGCCTAATATACGAACACAAATACTTTCAGTAGTAAGATTTGGATTACAAAAAGGATGAGCATAAAAGTCATGCCCTAGTGGGAATGAAAACCAATATATACTGAGTTCTATGTGTAGTTTTCCCTTTTTCCATTTTCTTTTACTTTTTTAGTTGATATCATGGACATATGTTGTGTATGTAATGGTGCTTTCATGGAGAATGAGAATTCATAAAATTTTGTCACTTAGAAATAATAATGTCGTTGTAACTCAGTTTCTTATTTGCTTGGACATAGATTGTGTTTACCGACTCTGCCACTCTAGTTCCTTAACTTCATGTGGTAGTTGACTAGTCATGTCTGAAGCATAATTGAGTTCAGGACTTCTAGAAATTTTCTTTATATGAGTTTATTGGGAGTAATGAGATATGTTTTCTGGTTGTAGAATGGATCTTGGCAAGCCTTTAAGGGGGACAATAGAGAAGAAAAGGACTTGATATGCAGAGTAGAGAGGACAATGAATTCACTTAGTGGGACTGAGTTTGAGGTATCCATTGTTGGTGAAAATTGGGAAGAATCAAAGTCTGATTTCAAGATGAAAGGTTCCCTCTTCTACAGATCCTGCACCATCTATAAAGGCAATTCCATAGTGGCCCAGGTATTTACAGTAACTTGCACTTCCAGATGATTTGCTCATCTTAAGTCGAGTGGGAGCTTTATTTATATTTGCTACTGTGAATTATAGAAAAATATTTGATGTAGCAGAATCTGAAATAACAAGAACATCACAACTCTTTTATAATCCTGTTGAATTTTAAGATTATTAGAACTATAGGAAAATGGGGGAAGATTCTCGACAAACTTTTGTATTAATTATCATCAAAAGCTGAATAACCCTAAGGCTTATAACCACTATTTATAATAAAAGAGAAACTAGTTACGGCAATTCCTTAAAAGAGATAGTAAAATAAAGAAAAATTGAGTTAAGCTCAAATTTGGATACTAGAAAGGAAAAGAAACATTCTGAAGAAAAAAAGTAATAATAATAAAAATAATAGTGAAAAATGGATTTGTGTAGATTAAATAATTGATGATAGAAATATTTCCCAAAACGCCAAAATCATGAAATTGAAACCCCAAATGATAGAATTCACCCAAAATCCACCGGGTCCATGGAAAAGCATAGATCTTAATCTCCACCACATTTTTCGTCACTACGAATTTCACGTAATTTTAAGCACATGTCATTTGTCCCTACTAATACCGCTTGCATCAAAATTTTAAAATCTAGGTAACCACCATTTTGGCCGTGTTTTATTCTCTCTGAACCCCTTTTACGTGATGTTAGTGCCAAGGCTGTTTCACAACAAATAGGTAGTTGCTCTCGTTGGCCTGGTTCCCTTCCCCCAATTATCTAGATTTCGCTTTTGAATTTTGGCTTGTGATTTCCATATCTCTTACTACACTCAGATCATTAAACCATGCTGTTCTTTCTCATCCCTCAACTGATTTTTACTAATCTCGTGTAAATGACAGTATTATCATAAATGTTTTGTCCCCTGATGTTTTTATTTATTTTTCTTGGATTTAATGCAGACTAGCCTCATGTACAAGCTTGGGATTCAAGGAGTCTTCATGTGGAGGAATAGATTTCGATTAACTATATTTCCTGGGTTTGTAGATCATGCTTTGATTGTAGCTTTGATTGGAATATTTTTCGATGGGCGAAAACTGTGGATCTAGCAGAACTTACATGTTGTTGTATTCCACTTTCCACTCACTCACAAAAATTTAGCAAAACAAAATGAAAATCATGCAATGGACTCTCTGGATTCTTTGTTTTCTTTCCTTTCCATTGAATTTATTTTTTAATTTATTTTCCCCTTAGTTCATAATTATCCAAGCCTTCTTCGTTGTCGGGAAACATGCTTCTCAAAAATATGTTTTCAACTTCAAGAAATAATTACAAGCAAGAATGTAAATTTTTTTTTTGGTTTTGTTTTTTGGGGGATTTGGTCATAGCCCCCTCACTATCTAATTTCTCTTTCAAAAGGACAAGAATTATATAAGTACTTTCAAAATCCCTTGATATTTTAGAACTTGTTTCTTTTACTATATTACCCTCATATCTATCAGCTCTCCTATTAAGACATTTTCACTATATATTTCAGAGAAAGTAAAATTTTACTCTGTATAAAAGCAAAATTTTACTATGAATAAAAGCAAAATTTTACTCTGTATAAAAGTAAAATTTTACTATGAATGAAAGTAAAATTTTACACTCTGAAACTAAAAGTAAAATTTTACTCTGTATAAAAGTAAAATTTTACTCTGGTTCTGTCAAATGAAAAAAACAGAGCAATAGAACCAGAGTAAAATTTTACTCTGGTTCTATCAAATAAAATTTGATGTTTACTCTGAAAAATCGATGGAACTTTAAGCTTTGAATCAAGCCTATAATCCTTAAATCAATCGATGTTTACTTTGAAAAACATTGAATCATGCCTATAATCCTTGAATCAGGCCTATAATCTGAAAATTTTAGAGAAATCTCAATTTTTCATATCCCGGTTCTTCAGATTTTTCAAATTTTACAGATTTTTCAGATTTTTAAAACTTTGAGCTTTCAAAAATCTATAGATAAATTATGTATCTGGATTGTGTATATGTGAGGGTATAATAGTCTGATAAAATATTTAAATAATAAATTTTGTCCTTTATGCAAGATTTTATAATTATGAGGGGGTTTAGAAAGTATAATTTTTTTCTTAGTCCTTCTAACAATGAAAGGAAGGTAAAGGGGGTTTATAGCCAAATTTCCCTTGTTTTTTTGAGAAAATGTAAACGTTTAGGGGGTTAGGGAAGATGGCAAAAATTAGGGTGGCCATTGTGTCGGGTCGGGTTGGATCACATTCACGTTATTTTGGATTAGCAAACACAATTTATCATAACGTAAACACAAATTAGCAAATTGAGATTTTTACTAGTATGAAAAAATAAGTTCTATCTTCATAAAAGCAAATGGTGCTTTCGGACAAGGGAGGAAATTGCGATAGAAATGCCGGAAGGAAAGAGAGTAATAAATGAAGAAATGAAGAAATAGAGTGTGATGGGTTCAAGTGGAGTGTGAATATCAATAAATAAATATGAATAAAAAAAATATGTCTATGAATCAAAAAAAAAAAAAAAAGAATATCAATAAATAAATAAATAAGTAAATAAAAATTTTATAGGCTTGTGAGGGGCTAAAAAGAAAAATAAAGTATGATAAGTGTAGCATAAATGAGTAGAGTAAGTCCCTCATTCTCTGTTTCATGTGGCTCTGGATTTGTGGTCAATTTTTGAGCTTCTTGTTGGTATTTCCCTTTTTTTTTTTGGGTACTCGGGTGGTAAATTTAATTTTGAATTTCTTTTGTCCGTAGGTTCAGATGCTCAAACACTTTGTCCACAATGTGTAAAATGACCAAATTACCCACATATATATATATATATGTTATATAATATACACACATTTCAAAACTCTAATTCTCAGGGCCCCATTTCTCTCTCTCTCTCTTTCTCTCTACCTCCCTATTCATAGTAGTGGCACTTTCTTCAAACCAAACCTTACTCTCTCTCATTATCTCTCTCTGTCGACTAACTGCATCGTCGTCGTCTTCTTCGATCCACCGCCGTCGACAGCCTTCCCCACCGCCGCATCTCCTCCTTCCGCCACCGTCATCTTCTCCCTCATCTTCTCTTTCTATCGCTCACAATAGTGTCCGCCGTCTCTCCCGAGATCCAACGCCCTCCTCCTCCATCATTTCCTCGAAACCAAACCCTAACCTCACCATCACAGCTCGCCTCTCTTCTCTCCCTTATCATTTTCTAGCTGTCTCTTCCATTTCTCTTTGCGTTCCTCCCATAGTAGTGATTAGGGCTGAGCATAGGGTTATCCGAACCGCACAATCCGCCCAACCTGAACCGATCCGCATATAAATGAGCGGTTTTGTAACGGCCCTAAAATCGGTATCCGAAATTACTTTTATGTCCTTGTGGGTTAATGCATTTTAATTTAGTGATATCTGTTTGAATTAAGGAATTATTTGTTGAGCTACGGCTTTAGAATTGAAATTACCGACCTTTACGGGTTCAGAAATCAAAATTGAGTACTTAGGTATGTTAATGGGAATTTTTAGAACTATTTGAAAAAATTAATTGGAAATCTAATTTGTCTGATTCGTTAATGCATGTTTGGGTGATTAATTTTGTACTGCAAATTGAAGGCCTTAGAGGCTTCAGAAACCAGAACAGAGGACATATTTATGATCAGCACAATTTTTAGAGTCACCTAGGAAGTTTAATTGAAATTTGATTTCGTGCGATTCGTAAGGCCGTGTTTGGCTCTCCCTATTGTGTTAAACTTATGTGTGTGTATATTTAAATGTATATATGTATGTGAGAGGAGGAGTTGAACTCATCTCTTAGAGCCCAAAAATATCTAGATGAGGAGGGAGGATGATATGTGAGAGAGAGAGGGGGAGAGAGAACTCAAAGAGAAGAAATAGAAGAAGACATCAAAGACTTGGCTTGAATTCTTCATAGTTATACAAAAACAAGTGATGGAAAAGGGTTAAAGTAAGATTCTCCCTCTCAACACTTGAAGATCATAAGCTAAAGAGTGAGTTCTTGGGTTATCTATGATTGTGTGTATGGGTTATGGTTCTTCAAGAGGCTAAAGAAGAATTCCACCATGAAAGTGAACTTTGGACCCCAAACCATGTCCACTCTATATTTTTGTGTTTTAGTTTTTAATCTTGTTCTCGTGCTTGGGAAATTGAGTAGTATTTTTGGGTTATGATCTTTGATGGAAGCTAATAATGTGAAATTTATCATGTATTAAACAATTTTAGGCTTTGATTTACATGAAATTGAGGTTTGATTTTGAAAAGGAGAGGTTCCAAATTATACACCATTTTCGGACTGTCTGATTTTGCCCAGACCGCACGAGCAGCCACGGGCACTGCATAAGCAGAACATGAAGAAAAATAGAGGTTTTCATTCTGCTCTTTGGGAGCTCGAGCATCCGGTTTTTCCGCTCGAGCGGATTTGGGCCGCACGAGCGGTCAAATTGGGCGCACGCGCGGCCAACCCTGTTTCAACTTATACCTGGTAACTTCAAATAGGCATATCTCTCTCATTCGGACTCTGTTTTAGACGATTCTTGAGCCTAAAATCAAGCCCCGGAAGTCTAATTTCCAATGATGGTGGTCTGATTCCCAAATTCTAAGTACAAAAATAGTTATGCCCCAATTGGTGACGACTATTCACTTTCTGTTTACCAGTTTGTGCCGTTTCATCGCTTAAATCATTTTCCATCGATTCCTCCTATTTTCTGAGACATGGATTATAACTTATTAAGGAATAATGAGCTTGGTACCACCATGAATAATTGATTAAATGATCAAAGAGAATAAGTAAATGATCGATTATGATCTCATATTATGTGTTGTGCACTGTGTTTGTAGGTCGAGACGAGGACATCGTCCCATTACTACTGGGAGCCGATCACTGTGAGTAATAGTAGTGTAACGATATGTTTCACTTACTTCCTGTGATTATGATTTATGTATCGTTATTTGTGAATGGCCTATTCCATTGATATTGTGCTTTAATTAAATTAATGGATATGAGTGAATAATGGCATTGATATGGACCTAAGGTCGTTCTGTCCCTAGTAATAGACATGGGCCTGAGGCCGTTATGATGTAAATTATTCTGTCCCTATTAATGTAGTGATACATTTGCCTTATGTTAATAGTTATTATTAATGTTTTGTTATTCGCAAGACAACTATGTCGACTTGTAATAAACCATGGGGAAATCTATGTGCACTATTGTGTAATGGTATCCTTATGAATCTGGGATTATTCTGTTTTGTTAAAACTGGGCTTAAAGCCATTTTATATCATATCTGGGCTTAAAGTCATTCTGTATCATATCTGGGCTTAAAGCCATTCTGTATCATATCTGGGCTTAAAGCCATTCTGTATCATGTCTGTGCTTAAAGCCATTCTGTATAATCTGTTAGGCCTGAGGCCGCTCTGCATAATATGTTGGGCCTAAGGCCGTTTTGTAATCTGCATGGGCCTGAGGCCGGTTTGTATTACATATGGGCTTGAAGCCAGTCTGCATTACATGTGAGCCTGAGACCGTATTGAAATATAGTTATGGATAAGACCTATGTATAGTTTGGTATCTGTCTATTTAATTTATCCAAGGTTTTGCTTATTTAATTAACCTCCTTACACTGCTTTTATTCATTGAGCCTTGCTCATTCCGTTTTATGTATATTTCTGTAGGTGAGCCATCGAAGATTGACACAAGAGTTGTACTGAAGTTCGTCTGTCTACCAAGTCACCTGAGGTATGCCTCCGTGTGGAGGCATTAATTTGTGTTGAGAGTCATATAAATTATTACGTCTTATGTAAGTGTGTGTGAGATCTATATTAATACTGTAATTGTATATGTAAATCTGGGAATGTATTTAAATGCTCAAAACTAATTAAGCCATCATGTATGCACAAGCTCAATGGATGTTATCTTTTATTGATATTGTTTCCGCTAAAGGCCCCATATGTGGTTAAATATTATTTTAAAACTCTGTTTGAGGCCTATGTACAGGCCGGTCATGAACCAAACTTTTAGGGACGGGTTTGTGTCGTGATAGGTTTCACAGACACAATGCAGGCGGATGCAGTTTGGAATATGGCATTATTGCTGTGGGAGCCGGATAATTAGAATAATCAGAAGCGTACTATAGAAAACAGATATTACACGGCTCTACCCTGCACGATACGGATATCGAATATAATAGATAGGCCGAATGGATACTAAACTATGGAGCCGAGTAAATAAGAGGATAATGAGTGACAAGTGGGCCTGGCCACAAGGCCCAGGAAACAAGTATAAATAAAGGAACAACAGATTAAGAAAGGTAGGTGAGAATTATTGTGCTTAACTTAGAATACAAGCATTCTTGAGTGCAAAGACTGACTTGTCCGTCGGAGTGCTAATTCCGGCACTCCTGACCGGAGTGTTTATTCATTTTCAGGTGACTATCAGCAGATCTCGAGTGCTCCCCAGGATCATAAGAGTATTTCCAAACCACATCTCCATAATTAGCGCCGTCTGTAGGAATACTCAAGCGCGTCCATGGCGAGCGTGACGGAAGATCCTCCGACAGTCACTGTCGACCCTATACCGCAAGACGAAACCACTCCAACAAACTTGCTTGGAACAGAGACTATCGTCGCAAGACCTACCTTGAATTTCGCCTCACCCTCAACTTTGGAGCACGAGACAATGCAGGCGATCATGGAACAAGCAAAGCAAAATGAACAGAGCTTGGAGAACATGATCGCTGAAAACGAACGTCTTCGTGAAGATTTGGCCTTGGAAATGGCGAAGTCCAAGCAAGCTGCGCGCCTAAATGCCTAAATCCAGAACGATCTCAGTGGTCGACAACCTCGAGCACGACAAGACACTGATAGCAACTCCAACTCATTATCCCCGGAGCCCAGGAAGAAGGGACGACATGAAACCACCAATTCTTCCAAAGAAAGTCCCCATGCAATGCACAAGCGAAGAAGGAACAGTTCGGACGAAGACCAACACGATCCCTTCGTACGATGGATTGCAAAGGCTGCGCTACCCAAGAAATTCAAAGCACCGTCATTCACTTTGTACGACGGCAAATCAGACCATGACACGCAAGTTAGTGAAAGGGAGAGCAGTAGCGGAGTTCCTAGCCGACCACCCAGTTGAAGGGGATGAAACAGCTGAGTATCTATTCCCAGACGAGGGCATTTTGTATGTCGAAGATGAGACCTAGACGATGTACTTTGATAGAGCGTCAAACCAATACGGGTATGGGATAGGGGTGTTGTTGATAGCACCCGACAATTCCCGTATACCTCTAGCATTCAAACTCCA